ACCACAGACAAATGCACCAAGGACCCGAATCCATGTGCCAGCAGCTTGATCATCTCCAAGATGGGGACTCGAAAAGATCCAAGTTGATCCAAATATCCACCGGACTCCACCCCCCTCTTTCGGGCCCGCTCTTGTGGCCCGAGGAGATCGTTCATCCAACTAGATGATTTGTAGACCCCTCTGTTCGACCGGATGTTCCAAGCTCTCCCGTTCAAAAGATATCGAACCTTAATCATGATATAGACATATATTATATACACCTGCCATATAATAATCATGGAAGTTGATGGCACCACCTGTTTGGTATTCAGAAAATGGTCCTCCTTTCGGGGGCATGCCATCCATTTCCATGTTTATTTTCAGGGCACGTACACCTACCCATACACCCCTGGAAAATGCAATGGTCATGGCATGGCTGTCCCGCTCACCCGTTGATGTTCGACGTGTCCACCGTCGACCAGTCTGACAACCATCAATGCAACAACCCATCTCATCGGCACTACCTTCAGCGAACTTGGCCAAGGAGCCATGCCATCTGATGATCTTCGGTCTTTGGGAGGCGCTGCACATAGCCCTGGCGCGGTTCTCCGCTTCTGCCCGGATCGCGCGCCGGATCGCGCGGACCAAAACATCCCTCCCGCGGTGGTTGAACGGGTGCATTGGTGCATCCCCATGGTGCTCGTTCGGTCCAGATCGAGGGTTACACCGAAAACCCCCCAGGATCCGAGAGGGAATGCTGCTGAAGAAAAGACTCCTCCAAAACTCACATGGTCCCTGCCTCGTAGGGCAAAACAACACATCAAATCGTCAACCTGATGGGGGGCCATGATGGGATTGCCAAAAGCACAATAAGTGTCAGAATCTCTAAAAAGGCAAGCTGCCTGGTTGGAAAACATCAATGCACAATAATAAGTTGTCTTTTGGACCTCCCCTTGTGGACTTCGGGGGTTCCTCCCAGCTGAAAAGGATGGCACGGAGGCACCGGAGCGGTCCGAACTCCTGGACGAGAGGGATTTCAAGCTTTAATTAGAATTGTAATTACTAGCTGCTTGTTACTACTAGTAAGGCACCTGTTAGTAGTAGTAAGGCACTTGTTCCTACTAGCAAAGGAATCTACTCCCAGGGATTTCAAGCTTTCACCCCCAGGTGTCTGGACGTTTCCCATCTTCCCCAAGCAGGCCGGTGTGACCACTCCTAGAGCTGCACCTCCTGTTGCACGCCGCACTGAACCACGGCCCCCACTCATGCCGGTGTTTGTGGAGAGCACCTTCATGTGCACGGATAGCAAGAAGGAGAACTTAGGCGTTGCGAAGGGTGTTCGGGTGTTCTTTCCGTCCTTTTTGGACCGCTGACGGTTGACCTGGGATGCGCTTCGGTCGGCTGAGTGCCTGAGCCTGTCAAGCTATGTCACCCTGAAAACGAGAGAATGGACATCCAGAGAATGGGCTCTGACTGGGCAACTGTTTTAGTTGCAGTTCGCTGACGCCACACCCGAGCGCACCGGCGCACGGTGTCCACACCGCGCCTACAGCGCTCACGCCCTTGAAAAGCCGGCGACCTCAACGGTCACAAGGGTCGGAAGGAGAGAACGGCAACATGCTGGATCAAGGAGCCAGACCCGCACATAGACCCCCTTGGATTTGGATGGGCGTTCTAAACGGGTTCATTTCTACCAGTATCACAGCCTTGAGAGCGTAGATTCTGGGTGACATGTCAAACCAAGGCGTTGCAATGCCACCACGTTGCACTCGTAGGTTCCAACGTGTGACCATCTGCGATGAGTTTCACCAAGTGTCCTGATCAAACACGTGTCACTGCCCAAAAACTCCTCGTAAGGACAATCCTGTCATCCTTCCAACGAGTCCAAATCCCTACCAGCTGTGACATGCTGTGACTGTCACCATGACTAGCCCAGCTTTTGAGTGGACCTCACACCAACTAAGCTGCCAGTAGACCCTCGAGACCCTTACAAGGAGCTTTATGATGTCAGAGGAAAGGACTAGACATAACGCGTATGCGAATGGTCACTATACCGCTATACCACCCGGTGTATTATTCCATGACTCAGTAGTAACAGGTGGATGATGGTGGTTAGTAGTAAAGGCCTTTCCCCCAAAAGACGTGATAGTGATAATCTTTTACCGATTCTAGTGGGACACTCAGTATCTCTACCTCTCAGAAAAAGGGACAAGACATGATGCGATTCACACTTCTTGGGAGCGCTCCAGCTCTCGCATCTCAGCACCCAGCGCGCGCTCATTGCCGTGATCCAAACAATTAACGGAGAGACGCGCAAAGACGTGGGAACACGAGCAAAAGCAGAGTTATGACGTAGATGGAACTCACAGTGGAATTTAGAGTGCAACTTGGTGTTAAATCTCTGATGGATTCATCATGTTTCATCTGCGACATAACTTTTAGAATGCAGTGGAATTGTTGTTGCGAGATCTTTGTTCTTGTAGTGTAGGAGTTCATCCATGGAATTCCATGAACCATGGAGGGACATTGCTACCCTTATGTTGCTGCACGCTTCAATCTGCAGATGAAACCTCCTACAATTGCAAAAGAGATTATATACTTATTATAGGCTATGGCCGATGGCCAGTGCAGAAAAGATGTGAAGAAAAAGGAACACTGCACTGCTTGACTTGTCTGGACCAACCTGACCCAAGACGTGCTACCCCAGATGTGATCGAAGCACTGCGGCCGAGCGGCCGAAGCGCGGAACCCGGACAAAGACATGGATTCCCCAGAAGAGCGTTCACATGAATTCCATAGGGATACAATTCACGCATAGAAATACATATCAGAATCCACCCTTTTTTCCAAATCCAGGACCCGGTTCCCTCACTTCTGCGGTGGCGACTCGCACCGCGAAGTAGGTCGGCAGTGAAGCCAGGTCGGCAGTGAACGTCTGGTCTCGGTATGTGAAGGGAGCCACGCCGCCACGCTGTTTCCAGCGAAAAAACGGAGGCGCCACACAACAACCAGAAGATGGTGGGGATGCCGCAGCAAAAAAGGTATCGGCGGAAGAGACTTGATCCTCCCAATGGCCCAAAGCATCCCTAATGGACGGCGCCAGCTCCTTCTATTTGCTGGCTACCCTTGTCACGGGTCAAAGAATTAGCACCCCTAAACTAACTCTCTGAAAACCACAGCAGGGCTGTAAGGGGTAATAGGTCGCTTCTGTCAAAACCACTTCCACTCATTGAATTCAAGAAATCTAGGAAAAATCAGCCAATAGTCAAAACACATTCATAGCCAAACACTCCATGTGCGGAAAACAAAGCGCCTACATTCGCCCCTGAAACCAGCCCAATGTAGGCCGTAGGCAAAGATGCCCCCATCAGTCGTGTCTGGGATATTTGGATATCGCCAACCTTTGTCCTTCCAGCTCCCCACCTGCAAAAACCACACGAGGCCATCTCTAAACCACCGGTGCCTCCCTTTTGCGTCGATCCTCAGAAGCGGGGGTCGTTCGATCTGGGCCAAGCTCCCAGCATTCGCTGGGCCGGCGCCGGACGCAGGGCCCGGTGGGGGGAGGTCTCAGAGAGGCAGCGACGCTCTGCACTGGAAGCCCTGAGCCGTAACCAGACCAGGTAGAATGGGGTAGGGCACCTAACCATGGTCACTGGGCCCCGAAACCCGAAAGTTGCAGAGAAGAATGAGTGCTGGCTGCTTGAAGTTGCGATCCACTGACAAGAATCGTTTAGAATCTTAGAAGACTCTTTCTGTCACGTTTGATCGCTGTTTGAGGGCTCCCTTTGCTGGTGATCTGTTCCACGCACCGTGGCCCAACAACTCCCTGGACCTCCCATTCTCTTGCAGCGAAAAAAGCACCGCAGGCACTTGAACTGCGCAGCACCGCTCTCTGCGGCACAGGCGCGGAGTGCAGTGGGACAGCTGTGGACCTCCTTCATTGGAAGACTATGTAATAAATACTACAAAATCGTCTTTTCAGTAAGAAATTGCTTCTTTTGAGGGCTCTTTAACATCCTCCAACTATACCTACAAAGAGGGAACTTGGGGGGTTGAAGCCTTTCCGCATACTTGGGAGGCTCTCAAAACTGCAACAGTCTCTCTTAGATCAAATTTGAGCCTTATCCGAAGACACGTCTTCAACAGGATTCCTGACACTCCTTCAAAAATGAGGTGATCATGTTTTCTTTATAGCCAGCGATCTCAAACAGAGATTAGCTTTGGCATGCTCTGGCAGTTCCTGCATCACATATATAGATATACTGCAAAAAGGAGTTGTGCATCATCCAGCACCTGCTGCTTCTACATGTGTCCCACTTCAATGAGCTTGTGAAACTGGAGCTGCGAACCGAGAGCCCTTAGGCCGAATTTCCACGAACAGTTCACTGAGTCGGTTGGGCTCTTGATGGGAGGACAACTGGTAACAGAAGCCAGCTGGCTCCACACTCCCTGAAGCTAGTAGTAACAAGTGCCACGCTAGTAGTAACAGGTGCCTTACTAGTAGTAACAAGAAGCTAGTAGTAACAGGAAAAATCATGGAAGTGGAAACTCCGGTCCTGCAAGACCAAAGCCTTTCACTTCCATGCTTTCCACGGACCAAAGCCTCCGGCCAATCCCCCCCTGCCCAAATGCGTGGCGCGAAACCTCGAGGTCGAGCGAAACCTCGGCCCTGGCAAAGAAGAACCAGGAAGAGACGTCATAGAAAGAGGGTTTACATGGTTTTACAATCCATGTCTGGGGGGCTTTACGAATCAAGAGTCTACATGATCAATGGAGTGACTTTGGTGATGACAGATGACATTGCTGTGGATCTCCAGTAGTTGGATCTCCAATGGGATTACTGTATATGCATGTACGCTCAGACCAAATCTTCGGATGTGGAGTCACAGCTTAAAAGGACCGCTACTTGAAAAGCCTACATTATGTGACTCACTTCCAGCATCTGATTGATGAACATCCGCTTGACTCTTGTCACCAGAGACTGAAGGGGATTCTTCTGTGACCCTCTCTGACCCCTCAAATGGCTACCAAAAATCGGCGCGCGGTGTCGCCCATCCAACTCATGGAGCTGTGCATAGCTCACACCCCACTCAGTTGTTGTTCTCGTCCATCCACCGCACTCGCCGGCCATCCGTCCATTCACCTGGAAGCACAGACCGAACCCCCCCCCCCTCTGTCCGCGGTCGGCCCGCGGTCTGCCAGTGGACGGATCTCGGAGTTCACCCAAGCAAAAGAACACCAAAGCGTCGCAAGACCAACACCTCCCGACGAGGTCCGCGGAAGAATCTGGTCTTCAAAAGAAAAACCGACTGTGGTGAAGCGCTGGTCCTCTCTTGTGACTCTTGTGCAATTCAGAAGGGCACATGTACCTGCATGTACCTGCATGCACCGTCATGTACCAAGTCATGTACCAATATTCGATGGGTTTTCACTCGGAAGTTGCAACATGTTCCAACCATGTCATCAAACCCATGCTCCTGGCCTGGCCCCTGAGCCACCCCACACAACGCCAAACGTCCGACTTCCCGTGTCGATCGGCCCCCGCGTCCAGACCGGCCTTTTCGTTCTTCTCCAGACGCCGTGACCTGAAATGGCGGTCGGGGATGGAAGCGGCGAAGCGTCTGCCTGCATTCTGACAGAACATTCAGAGAAGCTGATTTCAGCTGTAGTGCCCAAAATAGACAACATGCAACGATGTCGTGATGAGGTGATGTTCTTCGATTTCTTTGTTCCATCATGGTGAATCTATCTGGTGGGCTCCCCATACCAGGATCATGTCTTCGCAAAGTAGAGATGAGTTTCCACGGCGCCTTTTCAAGATGAAGTCGCGCAGCCTTTGCCACGACATCCCGAAGTCCCCCCGGATCTCTTCGCCTGAACATGCAGTTAGAAAAAAGTGGAAAAATAAGAGGAACAATTGGAACAAGGATGAACAAGAGTCTACATCAATGGTTCCAATTGGCAGGAAGCAAGGCCGCAGGCGGCCCGCAGGTGACTCCATTTCAGGATAGGAAGCCTCACTGGTGGATCCGTCTCCCGTCACTCGGGACCCGTCTCCCGTCTCCCGATGCCGGGTCACGTAGGTACCGACGCCGTGCTGCTTTCCTTCCTTCCTGGGCGTCCACGAAAGGGAGCATCGTCTGCATCGTCTGCAACGTTGAAGTCTCTTGAATTCGATCCATTGCAATTGTATATGCAGTATAAGATATACCAGGAGACCTTAAGGAGTGCCAATTGGTGGTAAGGGGTGTCTGTTAACCACCCCTTAGGGTCCAAACAACACCCCTTGGGGTCTCCTGGTATATATCGTGTACATTCATATGCTGTATATTACAGCATATAGTGTGTTTTGAGACAACCACCTTCGTCATACCTTCGGAATCTGAGAAAAAAACCTGCCAAGTTCGCTTCCAGAGTGCTGTGAGTCCACAAGTCGGTCATGTCGGTCATGGATGTGTCGTCATGGTTCCCAGTGCGACGCGTGCCATGACCCCCAACTCAACTGTTGACAAGATCAATTAGTAGAGGTCAATCATGGTCAATCGATTCGATATCGTGTCCAGCTGCAGTGTAAGAGGGGAGTCAATGTTTTTCTTCTAATGGTTGTCTTGTCTATCTGGTAAATTTAGGGGTCACCTGGTCGCCCTAAATTCTCAAAATAAACTTCACACCGGTCACGCCCCCACTCCGCATGTTCTCTTCTGGGCTTCCCTGCCAATCTCCGACGTACTTCCTGCCGTCGGGCCAATTGAACCTCGGTTCCCCCGAAACAAAAACTGCGCCGCAGGAACCAACGGATTCTGGGCATACAGCGTGTTCAACCCCAGGAACCATCCCCAACGCCATGATGCGCGCGAGTGTTTGGACGAAGCAAGGATGTTTGGACATGTTTGGACGACAGAAGGGTTTGTGCAAGTAAAATCATCCCGTGTCATCCGCTTTCAGCGGCTGTGTCTGTTTGGCGGACCCATCTGAATTCACGATGTGTTTGGCGGTGAATACTTGCCCCATGTAAGAACACACAAGAATCAAACTGTTCGATCCAGCGAGCGAGCGGGAGGGACATGTGAAGACTATGGAAAGATGAAGCCGTTGGAACTGTGAACCGTTTCTCAGCTACAGCTACAGGTAACTGCAACTATAAAGTTGAGTTAAATTCTAACCCAACTATTCTACGTACCTTTATGGTGGACTCCTTTATTAATAGTCACCTAAGGATATCTAAGGGGTGTTCTTCCAGTGCAACTATATATATAATCATCCTCGAGTAGATAGAATACGGAATTGAGCCGCCAACGTACCTTCCGTCATTTCAATTTCATATTCTAAGTACCTCGTTTTGACCCCCCCAAAAAAGTACATAGAATATCTCCGAGCGGATCAAACGAGTACTTGGAATATCGTGGAATGGTCTGTGGAAGATAGGGGACATAGGGGAGAAGATGGGAGAAGGAAAAGGGACATAGGATGCGAGCTCGCGCGCGCGCGGGTGTTTCGATTCGAGGCACGCGGGTGTTTTGATATAACCATCCTGAAGATGCTTTTGGGACCCCGATATTCCATGTATTATTACTTTTTTTTTGTGCCGCGGGATTGAGTTGTACCAAAATTCTATGTACTTCAGGATGGTTATATATATATATATACGAATAAAATCCCCCAAAGGTTGAAAGGTAGATTGACCATCCAGCTTGGGGGGGTTGATTTATAGTGGACACTTCCAGCGTCTCATTCCGAGACCCTTTCACCCCCTTTTTCCAAACACCAATGTCTCCAGCAACAGAGACTTCCTCGTGCCACCCACAGGCAAGCACAACGTACAACATCCCTCTTGATCCTCGTCTTCCTTGCCCAACTTTTTCCATCACAAGAGCCTGCGACGACTCGACACACGACACAACGAGAAGGGCACAAGATACAAAAGGGCACGAGAGCCGCGAAACACTGACGTCGACGTCGCTCAGATTCAGGCGTACCAAAGCCGTCCTTCTGGTCGCTCTTGTATTGTCCTCAGATCTGCTGGTGGCTTGACTTGCTTGCAAGGGTGAAGCCCACCCATCTGGTTGTGTATTTTAATAACAGGGAGACCCTCCAACTACTTGGGGTTTTGGGCCTTTGTCGTTTCAAGCACACATGATCAGAAATAGATCTCTCAGCAATGTGCAGAATACAAATTTACAGTAAACAATTGAACCACAACGTCAACGAAACTCAACTCCGGAACGGAACTCCAGAACACCAGGAATTCAGGGGCAACCTGAGTCACAAGGGCGCCCGCCGACGCCTTAAGGTTCAAAGTTGATTGACGTCCACCGTGGAAGTATTCCCAAAGTGTTTTGCAAACACTCTGAGCATTTGGTCATACCAGCTGACCCTTGATGTACGTGGTCGCACTAAGACTAAGATGTCCAAGGCGACGAAGTCCACCCCGGTCACACGAAAGATCAGTGCACCTGCTGATTGACCCACTGGAAGAAAACAGTACGGTCAGGTGCGCAGCTCCAAGGTCTGCTCTTCCCTCAAAGGTCGTATGCAGACTCACGAGGTCTTCGGTCTTCTTCCTTCGAGCAAACATGCACTTTTCCACGTCAGAGTCAGACGTGCGCGTAGTAAGTGCAAAACAAAATGTAAAGTTCCAGAAGACGAGTGCAACAGTCTTGTGGAGCATCGTAGACCCACCCAACAGGTTGAAACCACTGAAGAGAACGTTCTGTGAACACCCGACCAAGAGGAGCTCTGGTCTCAGCAATCCAACATTGTTAAGTGGAAAAGACACTTGCTAGGATGGAAGTCAGCAAAGTCTGTGGACTAGACCAACCACTGGGTTTCGGTCCCTTGTTCCAGGCGGTCTTTGGGAGGTCTCCCTTTATCTCAATACACACCTAAGATGGTTGCAGCTTGTTCGGAATCCGACCTTCAAACTGACTCGTGCACTAGTGTGGTGAGCTGGACCAGCCCGTGAGCAACCCTAGATGTGCCCGTGGCATGTGGCGGGCGTCAAGCATTGTCAACACCAAAAGGACCTCCAGCTATGCCTATTCCTATGGCTTCAATCACGTTGAAATCACCTGAAATCCCACATGTGTCAAACCGAAACTAGCCTGCAACAGAGAACAAACATGTCCAAACCTCAACCCGAAATGAGGTGTCCAGGGGTCAAAGCGTATCAAAGACATGACTTACCTATTTTAAAATGGACCAGAAAGTTGTTTAAAAGAAATAACAATAAGTAGTAATAATGTAATTAAAAAAAGACAATGCAAATTGCCTGAGTCTTGCGGCCACCCAACATCTTGGTCCTCCCCCTTCAAGCCCACTGCAGCCACCATAATCAGGTACGGATCAAGCGGCCGTCGTAGGAACGCCCATCGACCCAGGTGAAATGGCCTTGGCCTTGGCAAACAAGGATGAACATCGTGCGACGAAGCGAGAGAAGGGAAGAAATCAGACAAAAATTATCAAAAATTGCTTTCTTGATGCGTTTTGATGCGCTTTTTGCCAGACTTGTAGATCGATTGGAGTCAGGGGATAGCATAGCGGCACACAATCCCCTCGGCAAAACGAAGCTGCAATACAGGACAAGTCAATTCATGTCGATTCGCTTCTGAACATGGAGTCAAGCCATCACGGGAATCCCAAAATTGAAAAACGAATCTTCCATGCAAGACGCTGATGCATTCTCAAGCATTCATGTGCAAACTACCGTTTTTGGGGGTTTCCTTGACACTCGCCCAGCGTTTGGAGAACGTATCTCAAAAGGCCGGCAAACGTACCGTGATTAAAAAAAAACAGTAATCGCGGAACACTCTTTTAAAAAAATGGTTTCTTTGTGGGGAGTCCTAATATCCAACCACACCCAATGCACTAAGGCTCAGTATAATTACATCCATTTACATCCCTTCAGAAATTTCAGAAGAGCTATGCTTTCTTTCGTGGCCCCTTCCTCACCTCCCCCTCCGCGCCCTTCCACCTCCACGTCCGCGCGCGCTCTTCTCCAGGGATCCCGAGCCGTGCATTCGATTCTTCACCCATTGCCCCGTGTACTTCCGGCCATCGCCCTCCGCGAGGTCCGAGGTCGGCGGTCGAAGCGAGGTCCGCGGCGCTTCGGGTTTTGGAGCCGAAGCAACTGCTACGTGTTGCTTGGGGCCCAAAATGCCAAGTGACGCTTCATACCCCAAGAAAAATCAACGCTCGCCTCCCAAAAGCCATCGACAACCCTGGATCAGGTCGCCGCGCCCATTGGTAGACGCCATGGCCGTTGATGTCGTTGTCGACAAACTCACCCTGCGGTGCCCGCGGGTGCACCGGGTGCGCCCAGCGGGTGCGTCGTGGGGAATTGCCCCACAGGCCCCTTCCAGAGCCCTTCCAGAGCCCTTCCAGAGCCCTTCCAGAGCCC